GGGCGTGGTCAGGGTGGAGCCCCGCCTAGAATCCCCAGTGAGGGGCTGGGGGCGTGGTCGGGATGGAGCCCCGCCTAGAATCCCCAGTGAGGGGCTGGGGGCGTGGTCAGGGTGGAGCCCCGCCTAGAATCCCCCAGTAAGGGCTGGGGGCGTGGTCAGGGTGGAGCCCCGCCTAGAATTCCCCAGTGAGTGGCTGGGGGCGTGGTCAGGGTGGAGCCCCGCTTAGAATCCCCAGGAAGGAGCTGGGGCGTGGTCAGAGGCGAAGCATCTGCATAGCAAATGACAGGGTTCAGGTTCAGTCCCCAATATTGCAAGAAACATGCAAAAAACATTCTGGAAGAACTTGGTTCCTAGACAAGTGTAGTGCGGATGCTTGTCTACATCAGGTTCTCTAGGGACACAGGGTCTAGCTGTGGCTCCCAGTGTGAGGATAAGAGTTTGTGCCTAAGATGCAGCATGGCCCACTTGTCCTTTGCTTCTGGAGACAGAACTGGGGAACAGTCTTTCCTTCCATCCCTTCATCTTCCCCAGGTGGAGTTTCTGGATAGCACCATGGTAGAACAAATGTTCACGATAGACATGAACAGCCAGCTGGATCTGTCTGCCCTCATGATTCCCCGGTCAGGCAAGATCCCCATTCCACTGGTGAGTGTGGACCCAGCCTGCACACTCCAGCCTGCGCCACAGAAGGAAACTGCCTCCCGGGCTCCATACTCCACAGTGCTGCTGCAGCCCACAGCCCCCGAGGTTCTTGTGTGTCCAGACTTCCTCTCTTCTCTCCTTGCCTCATCCACATTCCTCCTATTCCTCCTCCTCCTTTTCACCCTCTTCCTTCCTTATCCCCCTCCTCCATCTCCTCCTCCTCCATCTCCTCCTCCTCCATCTCCTCCTCCATCTCCTCCTCCTCCATCTCCATTTCCTCCTCCATCATCTCCTCCTCCATCTGTTTCTCCATCTCCTCCTCCATCTCCTTCTCCATCTCCATCTTCTCCATCTCCTCCTCCATCATCTCCTCCTCCATCTCCTCCTTCTCCATCATCTCCTCCATCTCCTTCTCCTCCATCTCCTCCTCCTCCATCTTCTCCATCTCCTCCTCCTCCATCTTCTCCATCTCCTCCTCCTCCATCTTCTCCATCTCCTCCTCCATCTCCTCCTTCTCCATCATCTCCTCCATCTCCTTCTCCTCCATCTCCTCCTCCATCTTCTCCATCTCCTCCTTCTCCATCTCCTCCTCCTCCATCTCCTCCTTCTCCATCTCCTCCTCCATCTCCTCCTTCTCCATCTCCTCCTCCATCTCCTCCT